GGTTTTTCTTAGATTAATCTGTCAAGAACAGTCTCGTCGTTCATCGGTTTGTGAGACCCAAACATCGTGAGATTAATCATTCATCTGTAATTTGGTTGTTTTCTTTCTTGTTCTTGCTTGTGTTCTTCATTGCGCAGGCAGGGGTTAGCCTTCTTGGTGAGGTCAACCGGATCCGTGTCTCGGTTGATAACTAGAGGAGTTGTGGTGCTAAGATTGTAGGGTTCGATCTTTTGATTTGAAGCCGGATCGGTGTGTCATTCTCTGTCATAATGATAGTTACCTCTACCTGACGAAAGATCGGGATCCCCGTACCTATTACCTTGGACGTCAGGCGAGGTGGAGCCAGCCCTCAGGGGTCGGGGAGGTGGAGCCAGCCCCTAGACGTCGGGTGAGGCGGAGCCAGCCCTCGGGAGTTAGCCTGAGGCGGAGTCAACCCTCAGGGCTTGGGCGAGATGGCGCCTGCGACCACAGCGCCCACCGAGGCAGAGCCAACCCTCGAGGGTCAGACAAGGCAGGGCCCATGGTCTCGGTGGACGGACGAGAAGTGACTCGGCAAGCGGTGTAGTCGCGCTCTTGATCACGCGGATGAATCAATGTTGACAGTCATTAGCTTCTCCTCTTCGGGTACCCTAATATTGGTCCCCAATAGTTTGTTAGGAAAACTTTTCTATATGTGGCTGCCTAGTGCAAACTGGTATCTGAGATATCAGTTTTATCTCTTCTACTCTTTTTTGTTAACATATGGATAACAACAGAAATATAAAAATTCTGGTGTGGAACATTAGGGGAATGAATTCGTAGGAGAAGTGGGATGCTATCGGAGCAAAAATTTATGAGAGTGCTTGTCATATATTATGCCTGTAGGAAACAAAGAGAGAAAATTTTGATAGTTTTTATTTAAAAAAGTTCTATCCAAGATATCTTGACAGGTTCTTTTTCTCCCCCACCATTGGAGCTTCTGGAGGACTCATTACACTTTGGAACAATAGTCTCTTCTCTTCTACTTTGGTGCAAGCTAATAATTGTGCCATTACTGTTAAGTTTGATTGTTTCATAAACAACAATTCCTTCCATCTAACTAATGTTTATGGACCTTCAACCTTGGCTAAAATTTTTGGATCTGTTACCTAGTTACTGAATTTGGATAGATCAGATTATAATGATTGGATTTTGGCAGGAGATTTTAATCTCTATAGATCCCCGGATGACAGGAACAAACCTGGAGGTAATCATGGTGAAATTCAAATGTTTAATGAACTCATAATTGATCTTGATATTATAGAAATTCCCTTCAGTGGACAGAAATACACTTGGAGTAATATGCAGCTGGATCCTTTACTTGTAAAACTAGATTGGTTGTTCACCTCCCCCACTTGGAACCTCTCCTTCCCTGCAACTAATATTCAACCCCTCTCTAGGCCTATTTCAGATCATTCTCCTTTTGTCATCAACATTGGAACCAAGATTCCCCAAGCAGCTACATTTAGATTTGAAAATCACTGGGTTGAACATGAAGACTTTTTGAAAATAGTTGATCTTCATTGGAACAATGCCCCCTTCTTTGCTAACTCAGCTAGAAATCTATCACATAAGTTGAAACAAGTCAGACATGGGCTGAAAGATTGGAGCAAATGCTTCTCAAATCTGGGCAAGCTAATACACAACTGCAATTGGGTTTTATTGCTTTTAGATGGCCTAGAAGAACAGATAAATCTATCCACCCTGGAGTTAGCTCTGAGAAAGCTGGTTAAAAGGCATCTGACAACCCTCCTGGAAAGAAAGAGAATTTATTGGAGACAAAGAAATATAGTGAGATGGGTTAAATTTGGTGATGAAAATTCTAGCTTCTTCCAAGCTCTAGCTACTCAGAATCACAGAAAGAACCACATTGTGTCACTCTGTACTTCAGATAACATTCTCATCTCTGATCATGATCAAAAGGCAGGTTTAATTTATGAAGCTTTTAAAAACAGACTGGGTGTGAGTGAATTTACTAGTATCATCTTTGATTTGGCCAGCCTCTTGGAACAGCATAATTTAGAAGAGTTGGATGGAAACTTCACCTCAGAGGAGATTGATCAAGTCATAAAATCTATTCCCAATGATCATGCCCCTAGCTCTGATGGCTTTAATGGTCTTTTCATAAAGAAAAGTTGGAGTCTCATTAAACATGATTTTCTTAGACTTTTCTCTGATTTCAGTAATGGCAGTTTGGACTTAAGCAGCATAAATAATTTCTACATTGCTCTTATTCCCAAAAAAGATAACCCTGCTACTGTGGATGATTATAGACCCATCTCCCTCCTTAATTATTCCCTCAAAAGTATTACCAAGCTGCTTTCAAACAGACTCCAGTCAGTCCTACCCTCACTGATACATGATAATCAATATGGTTTCATCAAAGGTAGAGCCATCTAGGACTGCCTTGCTTGGGCTTTTCAGTTTCTTCACATTTGCCATCACTCTAAGAAAAAGATTGTTATTCTTAAACTTGATTTTGAGAAGGCCTTTGATAAAATAGAACACCCTTTCATTCTTGAGATTTTGAAGTTTAAAGGCTTCTCTGAAACTTGGATCAACTGGGTTAAAAATATTTGGGATCTGCTTAATCTGCTATTCTACTCAATGGAATCCTAGGGAAGAGCTTTACTTGCAAAAGAGGTGTCAGACAAGGAGACCCTTTATCTCCTTTACTATTTGTCCTTGCTGCAGATTTCCTACAAACCATTGTTAACAAAGCTTGGTAATTGGGGGTTTTGAAACACCCTCTTAGTGAGGATTTTTGGTGGTGACTATCCTATTGTACAATATGCTGATGATACTTTGTTGATTCTGCCAGCTGAAGCTAGAATGTTATTCATCTTCAAGGGTCTTTTGAGATCTTTCTCAGATAGCACTGGACTTAAGGTGAACTTTCATAAATCTTTCTTAGTACCAATTAATATGAATGCTGAAGAGACTCAACATCTAGCCAATACTTTTGGCTGTAAGGTTGGATCCATGCCTTTCACCTATCTTGGACTACCACTTGGTACTATACAAGATTTCAGTCCCCTCATTTGCAGAATTGAAAGAAAACTTAGTGGTATTAGTAAAATGCTCTCATATCAAGGCAGACTGATTTTGGTTAACTCTGTATTCTCAGCCCTTTCAACTTTTTACATGTGCAACCTCCAAATCCCTCCACCTCTCATTGAACAAATTGATAAATACAGAAAACATTGTCTCTGGAGTGGGGGTGATATAAATAGGAAAGGTATCTGTCTAGTAGCTTGGAATGTAGCTTGCAAACCTAAAGAAGATGGTGGTTTAGGGATTATTGATCTCAGGGCCCACAACTCAGCTCTGCTTCTGAAATATTTGGACAAATTTTATAACCATGCCAACATCCCTTGGGTAAGTCTCACTTGGAGCAATTTTTATAAGAATAATCACATACCTCCCCATGCTAAAACTCCAACTGGTTCCTTTTGGTGGAAAGATCTCCTCAAATTAGCAGATGATTTCAAAAACTTAACAAAATGTGTGTCTTCAAAAGGGAATTCAGTTATGCTCTGGCAAGACTCCTGGACTGATGGCTTACTGAAAGATGCTCTATCAGATTCTTTTTGGAAAAGGACTCAGCTTCTATCTTCTTTTTCCCTCTTTCTCCCCAGGCCTCATTTCAGTTAGACAGTTTGTAAGCTCTCCTCCAAAACTCCAGCTAGGATATGGACACAGAAGATCAATGGACCTACATTTGGGGCTCTTTAACCTACAGATCCTCAAAATCCTACAGGATCCTGATTGGTCAATGGCAAGCCTCACTTCTTTTCGAATGGATGTGGTCTTGTGGCAACTTAGGGAAACACAAATTCTTCTTTTGGCTACTTCTTATGGATCGCCTTAACACCAGGAACATTTTGAGAAGAAAGAATAGACAACTGGATGATTATAATTGTGTTCTTTGCAACACCAACTCGGAGGAAACCAATTTTCATCTATTTTTCGACTGCCCTTTCAGCATTGCTTGCTGGAACTCAATAAATATTTCCTGGGATACTAATCTCGATCCTCTTGATATGGTCTGTCAAGCAAGAAACACTTTTGGAAGTACGGCTTTCAGAGAGCTTGTTATCACTGCATACTGGGTTATATGGACTACAAGGAATGGTGTGATTTTTTATGCCAAATCTTATAGCCTCAATCAATGGAAATTTGCCTTCAAAGAGGAGATTGGTCTGGTTTGTATCAAGGCCAAAAAGAAAATTAGGGATGTACTTCTTAGTTGGTGTGAGAATTTTCCCTTATGAGTAGACTTTGTTTCCTTTTGGGCATTGACTGCCTTGTAATTCTGTATATATTGTACTTCTCATCATTTTTATAAAATACCAAAAATATAAGTAGGGGCCTCCCCTGCTGACCCTTTTCAAAAAAAATTCAATAAAGATCCTAGAGATGGATTCAGTCACGACAAAGCCAAACAAACTATTTAGAGCTTGTGACATATCTCTAAAAACTTTCAAGAATTAGATTTAGCACTAACAAAAATGGAAAAATATCCGAAGTTATTTAAAATTCTAAAACATTCTAATCAGTATCTAACTGTGTTTTATAAAAACTTTCCATGACAAAATATGAGATGCAAGCCGTATGGATATGACATACATTAATGCCGAATGTATTCATGTTGATTGCATCTTATTTTTTATCATGTAAAATTTAAAGATGTATTTAAACATCAATTAGAATGTTTGGGTTTTTCTTTAGATTTTTCTGGATATAATTTTGCCATTTTACTAGAGCTAAATCAAAATTAGCCGGACTTCTAAACGTTTTCGAAATTTCTACCTGGGCCTTTAAACTTCAAAGCCCAGCCCACTCATATATGTAGAGAGAGACTGCGCGTAAGCGACCCCGCTTCGCCAAACTGGAATTTTCAAAACCATTCCAAAACCTCCCGCCCCTACCGGTTCCCCGTTTCCCCACCCCTCACCCCGCCGCGCCACCCCCCTCTCCCGATGCAGCCCGGCGGCGGCGGCGCGATCCGCGTGCTGAACGTGGCGGAGAAGCCGTCGGTGGCGAAGGCCGTGGCGGAGATCCTGTCGCGCCGCTCAATGCAGTCGCGGGCGGGCCGGTCCCAGTACAACCGCATCTTCGAGTTCAACTACGCCATCAACGGCCGCGCCTGCCACATGCTCGTCACCTCCGTCACGGGCCACCTCATGGAGCTCGAATTTGATGACCGATTCCGCCGCTGGCACTCCTGCGACCCCGCCGAACTCTTCCACGCTCCCGTCCGTAAGTCCGTGCCCCAGGTATGCTGCTCGTTCTCTCCGTTCCGCACGAGCATTTCGCCGAAGAGATGGTGGGCGCGTCTCTGAGGCCTGCATATGGCGGTTCGGGTTTGATTGGTTGGTGCGTGGGTTCCTATCGGTTGTGATGATGCCTTACATGGTCGGCATCCATACTATTATTGCGCTCCGCACTCATGGATGTGCTGGTGTCAGGGGCGGGAATCCCACTGAACAGTGGGTGTGTGTTTCGCTGTGTACAGTATCGTGTGCCTGGCGCACTGGGCTGTTTGGTTGGCCTTCAGGCAACGTTTTGCCTGGCGCGAGCAGTGCCCTGAGGCGTCCGATTTCGGATGCTTGGAGCTACCATGGCTGCCAGGCCATGGGCAGCAACTTGCCTGGGAGGCCTCCAAGCAAACGAGCCCTTAAATGATCTCTGATGTTTGGAGTCGTTGTCCCATTAGGAGAGGGACACTTAGGGGCTGTTTGCTTGGTGGCCTGCCAGGCAGCTTGCCCACCAGGCATGCACCCCAACCCTAGGCATCCAAAATCGGGCGCCTGGGAATGCATGCTGCACCAGGCAAAGCTGCCTGGATCACAAGCAAATAGGCTCTTAAATGCTAAACTTGTAATTGCAGGCATATCATGATGGTTGCATGATAAGTGCAGATCAGCCCATTTGTCAGTTAATCATCTGGTTTTTGTTTAAACAGGTTACATAGAGATCAAAGTTTATTTAACACAATCATTTGATATGTAGTCCTTGCAGGGTTTTAGCCTAGAATGATATCCTCTTAACTAGCAACAACTGCACTGCATGTCTGCATGTAGATAAATATTGATGCTAACAAGGAGAAAACAACTGGACGCTTTAGGTCAAATGATTTGCACCATTCATGTAGTTAAGAGCATAGTTGGCCACTCCACCAATATGTTGCCATGAATTCGGTGCTAACATAATGCTTGCTTGGTGTTCTTCATGATGACACAAGCAGTCATTTTAGTACTTCTATCTTGTAAACTTCTCTCTCCCTGTATGGATGAATTTGTTCATGAACATGCAAGCATGAGTTGACTGGCATGTTCTTATCTATCTTCGGCTGTCATGTTTTGCATATATTGAGATTATTTTCTTCATATAAAGATTGTGGCATGGTCATGATGTTATTATAACTTCATGGATGTTGTTGCAGTTGAGATCTATTCTTGAATTTGTCCCTTCAATATGCAGGACAAGCAGGCCATAAAACAGACTTTGGAAGAAGAAGCTAGGAGATGCCAGTGGCTGGTGCTATGGCTTGATTGTGATAGAGAGGGTGAGAACATAGCATATGAAGTGATCGATGTTTGTACAAGTGCCAACAGTCATCTTAACATTTGGAGGGCTCGCTTCTCAGCTTTGATTGACAGGTATTGATTTTTTCGGATGGTGATGGTCTCTTTCCCTCTGTCTATTATAATGATTTTCTAAAAATATTATGAAACTGCAGGGAAATACATGAATCTGTGCAACATCTTGGCAGGCCCAACAAGCTCTTTGCAGATGCTGTGGATGCAAGACAGGTGATTTGAGTTGCCACTTGCCACTAGATTTAAATATTGCTGTTGATGTTTCACATACTTGAATCACAACTTTCTACTATCAACCAATGTAAAATGCTCTGGTTCTCTATCAGATTGAACTCCATGGAGAGCTTTTTACTGCATGTTTCCTCTAATACCTGTAGCTTTATAATCCAATCAAATGAATCTAAAGCAGCAGATTTGCTATTATATTTTCTCTTGCCAATTTTGTTGTGTCAAATGGATGAGCATTTGCCTGTTCATTCTTACTTTCTTGATAAGCTAAGATAAGTAATAAAAAACTCTGTACAGGAAATTGACCTTCGCATTGGTGCCTCCTTCACAAGGTTTCAAACAATGCTGTTAAAAGATGCATTTGTAATTAATGTGACTGGGGATGACAGGAATTTAGTTCTGAGCTATGGTCCTTGTCAGGTACTTCACTTATCAAAGCTACTACACGTATGCTGATTTCCATCTTGTCTAAAATTTTCTTATTCATTGCAGTTTCCAACCCTAGGATTCATTGTTGAGCGTTTCTGGGAGATTCAAGCTCATGAACCTGAAGAGTTCTGGACGATAAATTGTACTCATACTTCAGATGAAGGCACTGCATCTTTTGGTTGGATGTAAGATGCCCTTTAGAATTTCTTCTGACATTTTTGTTATGGAAGTCATGTGACCTTTTCTTCTTCTTGGCAGACGTGGTCATTTGTTTGATTATTCATGTGCTATTAGTATCTATGAAATGTGTGTTTCAGAACCAATGGCAACAGTGAGTGCTTTCTGATATATTCTGTTAACATCAATAGTTTGAAATTCAAATCTTCGTTAACAATGGATCAGTAGTAACACTTTTTGTTTTGTTTTGTTCATTGCAGGTACAAAATGTTAGGAATCAAGAGAAACTAAAATACCCCCCATATCCACTAAGTACAGTGGAGCTTCAGAAACGTGCTTCTAGGTACTTTAGAATGAGTTCAGAGCACACAATGAAGGTCTAAAAATATCTTTTCTTATTGTTCTAATTTCCCTTCCAGATCCATTATCTAATAATGGACATACCTCAGTAGCTTGATTATTTGCTTGTTTTTTGTTTGGTGGTCTCTTCCCTTTCAACACCAGGTGGCTGAAGAACTTTATCAAGCTGGATTCATTAGTTATCCGAGGACAGAAACTGATAACTTCTCCCCAAACACTGACCTGCATGTTAGTATTGGATTTTACTAGCTTGACTTGTTTCACATTCTTTCCTTCTGTTTTCTTGACGATTTTGCTTACAGTTAAGTTTTTTGTTTACACCTATAACCTTGCTTGACAATTGACATTGTTAAACAATATGCCAATACTAGTTTGTTTGAAAAGTGATAAGAAATATGTTCTCAGACAGTTGGTCTACCGTGCATGTAAGATCTTATTTTTTGACTTTTTTGTCAGTCACAGCAACATGTTTCTCCTGGTTGTTCCCATCACATTAATACAATGGATTAGTAGTTATTAATTGATGAAATCCCACTAAGACAATTGTAAAAATGCACTCCATACGGTCTCTGTCACACTCACAATGATTGCACTTATTTACCTTTCCTTATTTATTTTTTCTCAATTTGTTGCTCTTGCTGTTTCCTTTTCCCTTTTTAATGTATGTCTATCCTTGACCTAGGCAATTGTACGTGAACAAGTGAATCATCCAGTTTGGGGAGCATATGCTCAGCGACTTCTAAATCCTGAAGCAAGACTTTGGAGAAATCCCAGTAACGGTGGTCATGATGACAAAGCACATCCTCCTATTCATCCAACCAAGTTTTCAGAAGGTGAAAGAAACTGGAGCCCAGACCACACTGTATGTTGTGTTTCTGAACAATTGACAAATCAAGTGCTTTTTCAAGTGTTGTTATAAAATTTCCTATACAACTATTGTTTATCTCATTATATCTGGAATCCAGAGATTGTATGAGCTTGTTGTCCGACATTTCCTTGCATGCTGCTCTCAACCGGCTGTTGGAGCTGAAACAACTGTGGAAATTGACATAGCCGGTGAACAGTTTAATGCATCAGGGCGTGTTATACTTTCTGTGAGTATCCCTGTTTTGTTGCTTCCCTTTAATTGGCCACCAATACTATCAATACTTCAAGCAAACATATTCCTTCAGTTTCTCTGGTGCTACATGTCCTAGGATCTGTTGAAAAATTACTTCTACCATTATTCGATACATTTGTAGAGTACAAGTAGGTTAAAATATGTAACCAGCAAGGTCTAATGAGGCTAGTTAGTACACAGATGTAGCATTAGCAAATTTCGTTAATGTAAAGCTACACTATAAGGCCTGAATAGTTTTTTTTTTGTGCCAAAGTTTGTTACACAAAGTTATGCTAATATTTATTCAAAATGGAAAAGAAAAGGGGGAATTTATACAAAATGTGAATTGGATAAGTAACATGCATGTCCTCTTTTTGGTTTTGTCCAAAAAGGTATTTTAGTGACAATTTTTTTTTTGCTAGTGGTAGTGTTTTATTTGAAAGTTCCTTCAATTGTATGTTTCAAAAAAAAGTTCCTTCAATTGAATATACAGCTTTAACTGATCTCCTATGAGAAGGGTCAAAGTTCAATTCAATTATGCAATTGTGCTGGGTCAATTATCCTTCATCCATTCCAAATTATAAGACGTTTTGACTTTTTTAGATACGTAGCTTTTGCTATGCACTTAAATATACACTATGTCTAGATACATAGTAGAAATAATATATCTAGAAAAGCCAAAACGTCTTATAATTTGGAATGGAGGGAGCACATGATATCTTTGAATGGGTTGAGTATTTTGGTAATAAATGCGTGATTCACAATTGTTGCTTCCTTATATTTGGTAGTATTCATTAATATGTACTCCCTCATTTCTAAATTATAAGTCGTTCTGGCTTTTCTAGATACATAGTAAAAGTTATGTATTTACACATAGTGTATATCTAGATGCATAGCAAAAACTATGCAACTAAAAAAGCCAGAATGACTTATGATTTGTAATGGAAGGAGTATTTAACAAGTCTATTAGCAAACCAGTTAACCGTGGATACAGGGAAAAACTGTTGTATCCAAGGAACCTCAGCAAGTGGCCTTTTTTTTTTTCACTTTGATATATTATTTCTGTATTATCACCAAACCTCCTGTTGATAATAAGATGCTTTCATTAGCTGCTTCACTTGGATCTGGCGATTGTTCTTCTTTCAAAGAAATGTTTTCTTCTTCTGTAGAAAAATTATCTGGATGTTTATCGCTTTGACTCATGGGGTGGAACATTACTTCCAACATACAACATTGGGCAGCAGGTTTGCTGTAGTTATATTTCATACTCCACATTTATTTTGGTTGTCATTTTTTCTTACTAATATTTTATTGTGCATGATGGTTACAAAAACTGGTTAAAGACTGCAGATTACTTCATAATGTGAATTGAAAATATGTTCTTTCTGTCTATTAATAAGTTAATATTACTAATGATGTATATGTAAAAATATGCAATATGTGCAGCAGTGTGTAATTCGTTGCAATATGTAAGGAGTTGCTCAGTATTAGTTGGGTCAGTTGCCTGATTTATCTTAGAGAATAACATTGATATCCAACTTTTTGTATCCTTTATCAATCAAATACAAAATTAACTTGAGCTATCAATTCAAAATCATGCAGTTTGTTCCGACAACTTTAACACTTGATTCTGGAGTGACTCGCCACCCCTCTTCTTGCTGAAGCTGACCTTCTTAGCTGTATGGATAAAGTACAAAAAAAATCCTTCTTTTAATCCATGATATATTCTTTTTTTTTTCTGGCAATAGCTTCGTATTCAGAATTGGTGGATTGTGCCACTTAATGCATCTACATATCCATAATTTAAAATCATGCAGATTTGGCATTTTCTTATTCTATTTCCAGGCAGGAATTGGCACTGATGCAACCATGCATGATCACATAAAGAAGTTGCTTGACCGTTGTTATGCAACCAAAGATGAAAACACACGTTTCTCCCCGACAAATCTTGTATGTCATTCCAAAAGGCTATCTATTGGTAACCTATAGTACATTTGCATGTAGATGTCACGTAACTATCCTATCTGATCATTCTTTTTTCAACGACAGTCTCCACTATGGAATGCTTGCTTCTTGAAAAAATTATGCTAAAAAATGAATAAATACAGATCTGCATTCTTGTTTTGGCTAGCATACTGTAGCATATTATCCATATCACTAGATCCATGCATGCCTCCGTTAAATCCACTGTTTTTGTGCGGAAAGTACTCTTACCCTTATGAGAGTTCTAATGTGTGATGTCCAAAAGGAAACTTTTACATTTTTTGCTTATGTAAGAAATGCATACTTTTAATTCTACACTTCAACATTTTAATCTAATTCAGGTTAATGACGTTTCTTCTGCGCCCAACCCCCCTTCTTATCGATATAGCTTCTGATATTTCTAATTCCTGACAATCCACTTTGTTGACAATTCACAATTAACAGTGAGCTAGAGCCTATGGCTTAGAAGTGAGATCGTGATTACTTAATCCAATTTACATAAGCTTAATTATTTCAATTCATGAGTAATATGGCCAACTTTTGAGTGCATTTGTCTTCTTGAAACATTACCTCTTTTCTTTTTTAATAATGAAACAAACTTCTGTTTTTTTGGAAAAATGTAGGGTGAGGCATTGGTGATGGGTTATGATGAAATGGGGTGAGTTGACTCTTAAAGTTGCTGCACTTACTGAATCTATAAAGGATGGTATGGTTGCTTTGCTCAAACACTACTTTCTAGGTATGAGCTCTGGAAGCCTTATTTAAGATCAATGATGGAAGCTGATATGAAATCAGTTAGCATGGGTACTAAGAGTAAATCAGAAGTACTCCAGAGTTGTTTGCAGCAGATGAAGGCCTGTTTTCTTGATGTAAGCTGTAAATTTCTTGTATTTCATGATACATGTACAGACTATTGTAACATTAAAACCATAGCAAAAGAAGCAAAGCAATGACATTGCGACTATTTTATTAGCTACATTTCTGAATTTGTATACTACTATACTGTAATTTGACTCTATGGTGGTTATTGGTGCTACACAGGCAAGGGTGAACAAAGCAAAACTCCTTGATGCAATGGGGACATTCTTTGCAAGGTGTTTGATTGGATTCATAAGTCATTCTTTACTTTGTATGACTTCCTACCTTGAACTTGCCCTTTTCTTTTGTAGGTCTAATAGACCTATAAATGAAACTCAAAATCTGGTAGAGGTTGTGAGGCCTTGTGGTGCATGCAATGGATCTGAAATGGTGCTTAAGCGAAGGGCGGTAAGTTGTCTCCCTGTGACACTTTTCTTATTTTTTTCCTAGAGAAACTGGCATTACTCTATAAATTCTTGAACTTTTCTTCTTTTCTGTCAGACTGGTGAATTTATGGTTGGGTGCCGAAGTTATCCACAAGTGAGTAACATGGTCTTTTGATAGAACTAAATTACCTTATTATGCCGGAAAATGGAATGTAGAACTAAACTCACTGATGTTATTTGAATTTCTGCAACGAGTTTGGCATTAATAGATGTGTTGAATTTTCAGTGTAGAAACGTGGTATGGCTCCCAGGATCTCTTTCAGAAGCGGCTGTAACTAATCAAGTTTGTCCTATCTGTGCACCAGGTCATCTTTAGTGTCCCATTTGTTGACCCCGATTTATGTTGGTTATTGTTTTGTTTTTTCATTTGCCATTCCACTTAAATGATATGACAACTCTACCACACCTACAGGCCCTGTTTATAAGATTCAATTCAAGTTCCGTCGTAGGGATATTCCACCAAATTTCGATGTTGATCACCTAGGTAATCTGTCCTAAATGCACTGTCCAGACTCCAGCCACAATTTTATTATTTTTTCTTTATGATTAGATCTATCGGTTTTCTATGCTGTGTGGTTTTATTTGGGAGTACTGTTGTTAACTCCATCCATGTGTTTATAGCCGTTTTTTTGATAGGTTGTGTTGGTGGATGCGATGATATCCTCAGAGAGCTTATGGAGCTAAGTAGGTTTGGAGGTCGTAGCCAGGCTGCAACACCAGGTTTCTGTTGAATCTCGGCTCTCTGATTGATATATGGGCTCATCTTTTTTATTGCTCTAATTGCAATGCACTTGTTTTTGTTGAACCTACCTCATCTGTCTCCAGTATCCATGTTCTGCTACTAAAACAACCAGTGTAATTTTCATTCTAAAGTATTAATTCACTTTTATGACCATATTACTTCACAGCAAGAGGACCAACTCCAAATGGTGTGGGTCAGGGGGGTCCAAGGCAGGATTTACATACAAATTTTCGTCCGGCAGGCCAGCTTAATAATGAGAACCCATCCGTTATGCATTCTCAAGGTTTCCGTTCAACCCATACCCAAAATCCAAGTAGTGCTTCAGGTATCTGGCTATCTATGCTGCTCATTCTGCAATGGTTTACAAAGCTGCCACCTTATTCACGAGTTACATTCAGTTGCAGGTCAAGTGCTGTGCACTTCATGTGGAGCGGCTTGCATATTACTAGTTGCTAATACAGAGGCTAACAGGGGGAGGAAGTTCTACAAATGTCAAGATCCTGGCTGTGGCTTCTTCAAGTATGTGGTGTCCTTGACCTCTAGTATATTACACTGCCGTGCATATTCATCTGGTATCATGAAGAAGAGATTTAGTTTATCTATACAGTTGAACCCGTGCTATGCTTGTTGCGTATCATTATCTGTGCAGTTGGTTCGGCAAGGGTGGCATAACCTGCTTTTGTACATGTTATATACTCTGAGCAAATAATTCATGTATTTACTCTCACATGTTTCTTTAAATTGTTGGTTTTACATTTTTTTTAGAGAACCGTTTTCGTTTTCTGCTAGTAACCTTAGCTTACTACGTCATGGAAGATTCCTAGATCACACGTGGTGCCTGACTTGTCCCTCATTTCACTTGAATTTTTTGTGGACCCAGATGGGAAGACGAATTGGACAATGGTACGGGGAGAGGCCGCCGCGGGCGCGGTAGCAGCAGGCAGGCGTCTGCATCTGCAGGCCGGAGAGGCGGAGGCCGGAGGGGCAGAGGCCGTAACGCTGACGGCGGGATGTTCGTTTCAGCGACGGGCGACACCGTGCCCGGCAGCTGCTTTAACTGCGGCGATCCTTCCCACTTTGCCAACGCCTGCCCGAACCGGAGATAGTCATCAGGGAGCTGCTCGCTATGCGTGTACAGAGACTGTCAGTGTACGCCAAACGCTGAAGCCTTCGGATGGTTTTCATGTACCGAGGTGAGGTGCATATAATTCAGGTGCACCTGACAAGCTCATTCTCAAGCCTGTCCTGCACTCCTGCCCAGTGATGTTCTAGACAGTTACTACTATTTTTAAACAAAATGCGGCCATTAGGCTGATGCTAGTTCAGAAAATGCGACGACACTTGCTTAGCAGGTTGATTATAATTTGTACGGAAAACGAGAGCTGACTCGACTCGAAGAAATTACCCGAACAAGCTCCCTGCGGCCGCTCGGTGACGCTCCCCGCCTTCAATCGCGGGCGAGCGAATTCTGCTCGGAATCGGGAGCGCGTCGTTTGGGCGGTTTTCTCGTTTTTTTCCCCACCAGAATCCGATAACAAGCGGCTCCTAATAGACGGCCGTTTCCTCGCTTTTGTACAACAGAAGTCGGACAGGGGTTGCCCGAGGATTTTTTTTTTATTTTTAATCCCTTTTAAATAAATATTTTAATACTAATTAAAAAAATATTTACAAAAGTAATCCTTTTGGTCGCGCCAGCGTGGTACCATGCTGTCGCGTCACATGCGTTGGCGTGACAAGCCGAGCCACGGTGGTCGCCCGACGTTGACCGTAGCTGACGCGACGGAGTGTGGACCCTGCCTTGTCGCGCCAGCGACTCTAGCGCGACAACGCTTTCGCGCCAGGCGACAGACCCATATAAAGCCAGCTGCCCATCTCCTTTTTTTCTCCCTTTCTTCTCTCCCTTAATTCTGGGCGAGCTCGAGGTGAGCTCATGTTGATGTGTTCTCTCTTCTCTTTCTCCCATCCTCTATTTGTCTTTTATCAAGTTTGCATTTGCATTTCAGGTTTGAACGGTCTCGTGCATGAGGTATGACTCCCTCACCTCTGTTTTTTTGTGTTTACTTGATGTTTATATACTGCTCTGGTTTACACTGCTGTGTGTAATACTGGCTTTCATTTGGTTGAATGAAAGTTGCTTTGGCTAATTACGTCTAATAATATATTATGGTTCATGTTGTACTTGTTGAACTTTTATGATTTTTGTGATTGGTTTTGGTTGCCAGTGCATTAGGGTTTCAGTGCACTGGTTTAGACAGCAGTATGGGTTGGACTGTTGTTAGTAAACTTTCTTGGAAGTGTGATTTGAAGTTTTTTTTTGTTGATTAGATGTATAGATGAGTTGGACTATGTATGTATAGACATTATTTACATTCAATAAGTTTGTTTTAGGGTTTGGTTTCGTGGGTTTACATGATTATAGAGATGATTGAGATGGAAATTGTTGTTGAACTGTGTAATAATATTGGTTCATATCTTTACTTTGTTGAACTACTTTATAATAGGTTCAATGGCGGTTCCAAATGACAACCAATTCGTGCACCATCTGAAGGATCATGGTGCTATCGGTCCTTTCCTACCAGCAGAGCCAACACCGTTGTGTTACTGTGGGTTACCGGCATTTGTGAAGTAGTCAAGGCACCCCACGTCAGCTGGACGTGCTTTCTACTATTGCCAACTTAAGTGACGTCCCTCGACACTTGATGCCTACCTAGAGGGATGCAGCTTCTATCAGTGGATCGATGGCGATGAAATGTTCGATCCGTCGATTATGTTGTTTCCTTACACTACAGGAAACTGGGTGTTTGCCGAGTGCATTATATCGGGCACTCGGCAAAGAAGCTCTTTGCTGAGTGCTTTAAAAAAAACACTCGACAAAATAATTATGACCCCTAGAAGAGCGTTCCATATTCAGAATTTATTCGTTGGGTTCCGCCGCCACCGAACCCTCCGGAAATGACAGAGGCGGAGAAGGTTGACGCTGCTTTGCGCCGTCTAGCCAATCCTCTAGATGCCATTGTGGAGTGTCGGCGCTACTAAGTACTCCCAGCCAACGTTGAGCATTCACTTCCTTCTATCGCTTTGGATTGCTGTTGGCGGTGCTTAACCCAAATATTTTGCGTGCCAAAGTGCATTAAAATGACAACATTTTAGGCTACATCATAATAAAATATTATTTTATCTAACAAGTTCCACGAGTTTTGGTGCTTTCATTTGTTTTGCAGGACATAAACACAAATGCATGAAAATTTCACCGAAAGGTGCTTTCCGACGCTGATTTAGGCAAAGGAACAAAAAAGACGCCCATCAACTCAACTCATTTGGATGAAAAACTCACCGAGGAGCGAACCATGTCCAACCCATAGCCCACCACGCGAAGGCGGTGGCGAGGGGGCTTGGTTAGGGGGCGACCGATCCCTAGGGTCGCCCGACTCCCCACCGGCGCCTCTCGGCCACCCCTTCGATAGGCGGTGGCATGGGAGCATGCAGAGGCGGTGGAGATAGGGACTTCGCGCCAGGAATAGCCATATCACCATCCTTGCTCCTTGTATAAATAGAGGGGCACCCCCCTGTACAACACACACCTACTTGAGCTTCATTCTTCATCCATACATTGTAGTAGTGTCCCTCTAGGTGCTTCACACCTAGTTGTAATAGAGAAAATAGGAAGAGAGGAGAGGAATAAAGCTAAGGAGGAGCCAGGTTTGTCGGGTCCTCCTTAACTTTGTACCTCTACGGAGCCGACTCGACTTGAGTAATATCTAGGTTTTCTTTTAGTATTTCCAAGCTTTCTACTTGACTAAGTTTAGTCCTTACTTTGCTTCACTTACGGGAACTCCACTCGACCGAGTGCTCTAGTCTAAGAATTCGGGCTAGAGTAGTAATCATTAGCGTAGACGTGGTATCTAGGCTAGTGTCTACGTAAGTTTGCGCCCAATCCCACGGATAGTTGTGGTAGCCCCAAAGGTGACAGCTCTGACCAGTTCTTCATAATCCACCACGTTCGGATTGGTGTTTCCGTAGAGCTTTTTGGCAACCTAACCCCGATCACCTCTTCCCAGTCTTTTCGAGGATCGAAAAGGTACTGTTGCTCCGAAGTAAGTAAGCATAGTAAGCCTAAATCTTGGTTATTTAGTTTGACTTGGAAAAACCTTAGAAAACCCCCTACCTCTAAAAACACTATTTCTTAGATGACCTTGATCTTTTCTAGTTCAGTTCTTGTTCTCCGTGGAAATCGACACCTAGGAATACTCTGGGTGAAAGCTATAGCGGTATCCGTGCACTTGCAGATTTATCTGTTTGCGTTAACTAATACCAACAAACTTTCTGGCACTGTTGCCGGGGAACGATAGCTATTCTAGAATCGAACCAAGTCCTTTGTGTATCCTTTTCCCTTTTTATCACCATCATATGCACCTCACCATCACCACCATCCCTACCATATGGATTCTACTCCTATCTTTAAATTCTTTGCTCCAAAGGGTGAATTGTTGGAGCCTCCACCATCATCACATCCCATCCTTACAAATGGCTATGAGATTCGCCCTGCTTTCATAGCCATGGTTCGAGAAATCCTTCTCTGGGCGAGATGACAAAAATCCTTACACCCACCTTCGGGAATTTGAGCACTTGTGTTCTTGCCTAATTTTTTCTGGCATGACAGAAGAGACCATTAAATGGAAATTGTTTCCGTTCCCCCTTTTGGGAAGAGCAAAACAATGGTATGCTCATACCGTAGGAGGCATACATGAAATTTAGGATGAACTTCGAGACATATTTTGTCTTGCTTTCTTCCCTCTTTCTCGAATTGCCGCCCTTCGAATAGAACTTCTTACCTTTCAACAAAAGGAAAAGGAGACTCTAGGAGCAGCTTGGGCTAGGTTCTTGAGCCTTATCAACACCGGTCTAAACCTGTCCTTGCCCGACCATGTTCTTCTTTACCACTTCCATCTTGGTCTTAGCAAGGAAGCTGCTCTCCAACTTGACCTATCTTCTGGAGGCTCATTCACGCACAATACCATTAGTGAGGGGAAGGCCATTTGATGAGATCCTAACATACATGTATGTTAAGCCTTGGGTCCAATGGTTCCTGATCAAAGAAGATCCCCTGACCGACCACTTTAAGATCATCCGGGAGCTCGAGGGCTATGCCCATCGAGCACGCTCGCGCACGCCCTCTCACAAAGAGACCCGTCCGAGCCTAACTCGACCGTAGCTTTCGTCTGGGGCTCAGGGGCCTCCCCGAGCCTTGGGCCCCTGATCTACGGCACCTCTGAGCTTGGCCCTTGGCTCCTGCCAGCTAACGATGCTAGCCATGGCACAGGCATAAGAAGACAAGCCTAGGCTATCGATGCCCGAGAGCTCCTTGGCGCCACTCCCTAGGCATGCCCCTACCAACTACTCCTTCGACAGGGTCACATCCGGGGCATGACACAAGAAGACAAAGCTTCCCGTGGCCTCTGGGGGCTCGGGGGCTTTTGAGCCCGCGCGTCAGCCCCTGGAGCCGACCTTCTTCGCCACCAAGAAGACTCTAGAAGGTCTCACTCAGGGGAGGCCGGTCCAAGCTGACACCCCCTAACATGCAATGTCAGAACAGAGCAGCCAGACGACACCTAGGCTTCTTCGGCTCCAAGACACCTCGACGGTCCACGGCGCACCGCTGTAAGCCCCTCCTAGACTCCGGCACACGTAGACCGTAGACTAGAACCTCTAAACCACCTTGCACCCAACCTATCTCGTTATATAAGGGATAAGGCCAGACTTAGAGGGGAGAGGATCCCAATTCGATCACCAAACACTTTATTCCATTCCATCCACCTCTGCTCTGCACCGAGAGCAAGGCAATCCAGAGAGGGGCATCGACAACCCCTCCTCCACCACATCCCACCATCTCCTTCCTCTCTGATGAGGGGGAGGCTCCACCGGTGGTGAGGCAACCTCAGGATTAGCACCGAGCTAACCCTCCTACCAAATCTTCTTCCTTTGCACTGTGTTGTAACCCCCTAGATTTTAGGTGCTCTTGAGTGCAAGGATCATCAGCTGCTGGGTGTAGGGACCGAATTGGCCCAAACTAGGATAAACCATTGCATCTTCTCTGCATGATTCTTGTGTTCCTGAGTCCACCTGAGACACCGAAGACCCCATACTCTGACATCGACTCGAACAACATGCTTGCCGTGGTTTTGACCCTACGATAGCTAGCGTGCCAGGTAGGGGTAGCATCATGTGCGATTCTACCTCTACGGTGGCTGGAGCCACCCGCCTCGTCATTGGAGCAAGTGGCGCTGCCCCAGACGGCAGTGTCCGCTTCCCCGGTGAGTGCTCCATCATGGCCAGCGCCTTCGCTCCGGGCCAGGTCCTCAACTTTGGGAGCTCACCGACTGCTACGGCAAGCTTCATCCACTTCACGGGGCTGCACCGGCGGGAACGAGCCCCCGACGCTGCCTCCTCCGCCAGCACTCTTAGGAGCAGATCTCGAGGTTCTGGCCTGCCAGATCCGGCGTGGTCTAGGCCTGAACCCTACCATGTCGGACCGCCGCCAGATGTTATACATGCTGGCCAACGTCCACCATTAGATCACCACTGGTGAGGTGCTCCCACCACCTGATCGCTTCTTGTACTACTTCCTGGACCTGCCTTTTGGGATATAGAACACGGCGGCGTCCTTCTAGCTGGAGCTAGAGCACCTCATCAGTCATGAGGCGCTGCGGAGCATCATCCTCTCCGATGCAGCAGGGACTGACGTCCCCTCACTCCACGCCTTCCTTGAGGTCCTCTCGGGGAATGGACCAGAGTATGACTCTAACGACGTCGTCTACGACACCCCACCGCGCATGTGCTACCACGTCGACGGCGACGATCTTGCTGACGAGGTGCCTAGGCTCATGCCACCAGACCAGAGTCCCCACAGTCGTGTGGCCTACCTTTAGGAGAAGGTAGACCATTTGCGTGCTCAACAGGTGGACTTGCTTGCCGCCGAGGCAGAGCTCGAGCACCAAAGGTAGGACTTTGCGTGATAGCACACCACGTACCCTCTCGGCGATGATGACGACGCCCGCATGGGGCTCCTAGTGGCCTCTACATCCCCCATGCGGCGTACAACATGGCGGCCGCAGCTTGTCACCTAGAAGACATCTCTGACACGCCAGACCTAAAGACCAACGAGCAGCTGAATGAGGCGAAGTGTCTCCTCCGCGTCGCCCTCGAGCAGCAGGCTAAGAGTTTAGCCTCTCAACGCCGTGCCACGCTCTCCCGGTCATCCTAGATGATGGCCACCACCAATAGGGGGTGCTCTAATGCTCACACCCCGCAGGCGGTGGGGAGCAGCGGTGATACCTCCGACAATAGCTCTGACCAGCCATGAACCTAGGGCGCCAAGCCTCAGTAGGAGTGAAGGCGTGACCTTTCTCCTCGGTGTCCCCCTCATGCGGCACCAGATCGGCGACGACCGCGACGTCCGCGACACCATTAAGGCCAGGTGCCATGCTCAAGCGCTCCTGTACCCCTGAGCGATGGGGCGGGGCCCCCGTCCTAGATCACTTTGGCCCCCTGGCATTTGGGGCAGCGATCCGGGTGGCCTCCTACCCCAGGCGTTTCCGGTCGTCGACAGAAAACTCCAAGTACGACGGTGAG